CTTCAATGACGATATCAAATGGAGGTTAGCGGAATTGTGGAGTGAAGCTTATGCAATTCAAGTTCAAGATCCAAGTTCAGCTTCATCCGCATAGTGTACCAAGTCAAGCTTATTGAAGATCAAGATCGGCTTAGGTAATCTAGTTTAGGTTTTATATTATTTGTGTTAGATACTCTAAGCTCAATATCATATACACACACATTTTATTGGTTTTCTTGTATATATATGTAGTCATATATATATATATACAACACAAGTTTTGGTTTTTATGTTTATAAATATGAAATTACATATTTTATATTTATTATTGTGATTTGGTTTAACTACTTAGATATGAAACAAATATATTTTCATATACATACTCATATGTTTTATTTTCTATTGTATTTGTAAAAATATTGTATTCTTAGTTTTTGAACTTAACAATAATCATATACATATTTTATTAAGTCTACATAATTATTGTGCAAAGTTTCAAAACATGGTTTAGCCTAAATGTCAAAATTCATATGTTTACATTTTCGTGTTTTGGACTATTTCATAAAATGATGATATTTTACATTTAGGAAGTCCTTTTTACAAACCAGTCTTTGTAGCATGTTTATTATCATGTCTACAATCATTCCCTAAAGTTTTACTTTTTTCTGAATTTATTTGATATTTTTAAACAGTGTTTTAAAATCAGCAAACTGTTTTCAAAACCTGGAATTTCATATATCAGTTCACGGTCGACCGCCACGGTCGACCGCGCCTGAGTTCTTTCGTCAGTGGGCAACAGAGACTTTTACGGTCGACCGCTGTGATCGATCGTGAGCTCGAGATTTCCCACGGTCGACCGCCACAGTCGACCGCTGAAGTCTCTGGAGCTTTTCCTGTTGTTTTTGTTGCTCGCGGTCGACCGCCGCGGTCGACCGTCGTTTATCCCAACGGCTCTTTTGGTACAGAATCAGATTTCTGATTTTTGGGATGTTTAGTCTTTTTCTTTGGGGTTTTTACCGTTGCTTCCTCTTCCTATATAAACCCCCAAACCCCCTTCTATCTCAGTAACCAATAGGATGTTTTAAACAAGTTTAAAGTTTTAACAGGGGTTTAAGTTTGGTTTAAAGCTGTTTTTGGTTGGTTCACAAGTGGAGGAGATCATCTACATTGTTTGAGCTTCCTTTTAATCCATCTCTCCATCTTGTCATTCAGAGAAGAATCTCTAAACTCATATCTAGCTATTTATACGTTTGATTTACATTTCCATAAGCTAGCATTTGTATTGAGTTTAGTTTGATTTTGATTTACTCATTGTTTACACACACACACTCACTTAAGCTTATTGTATTTACATACATAGTATATTTGGGTTGGTGAGAGTTGTAACAATTGAGTGTGAGCTTTCATTGTGTTCTCATCCATATTAGAGAACAATCATTTGTTGTATTTGTGCTTATTGTGAGATACACTTTGTAATACACTTGTACACCGAGAGGAGTGTGTGGTGAGAGTCGAGGATCGTCCTAAGAGGAGTGGCGTCGGTTAACGAACCTAGGGAGAGGTTGTAACCGAGCACTTGAGGGAGACACGGCTAAACCTAGGGAGAGGTTGTAACCGAGCACTTGAGGGAGACACGGCTAGGTCCAACACTTATGAGGGTGTAAAGTGGGTTTGCAAGAGTATGAGTTGTAGAGTTTTCGGTTAGCTAGAAAACCGAGTGTGTAGAAGTTACGGCTTCCAAACCGGATTATGATAGTGGATTTCTCTCCGGGAGTAGGGAGCGGAGACGTAGGACGGAAGGTCCGAATTCCGTGATCATTTGAGTGTGTTTGTGTTTATCATTGGCACATTTGCTTTTGCATTTATCTTATATCGCCAATTGTGCATTGCTCATTTTATTTCATTCACTATCTTGTTTATGTTTATTTCACCCTTGTGTTAGTTTATATATCATTGCATATATTTTTATCTTATAGGATATATATCTCATTGTTCATATTACTTATCCTAGCTCACATATCATGTTGTATTTTATACTTGCTAGGATAATTTGTTAATTAGTTTTAATTGGTATTTAAATTGGATTAGATTAGCATAAGACCCTAATCACCCCCCTCTAGGGTCTAACAGACCTTGTTGTTATTAGTTTTGCAAGCTACCGTCTCAACACATTTTGACATGTATTCAACGGCTACTAGAACGTAAACATTTCCAAAGGAATTTAGAAATGGTCCCATGAAATCGATACCCCACAGATCAAAAAGTTCAACAGATAAGATGTGTTGTAAGGGCATCATATTTCTTTTAGTGACTTTCCCTAAAAGCTGAAAGCGGTTACAGGTTTTGCAAAACTCGTATGAATCCTTGAAAAGAGTGGGCCAGTATAGCCCACTTTGAAGAATTTTTTTCGGTTGTTTTTCTTGGGCCAAAGTGGCCCCCACATGCTTGCTCATGACGAAAGGATAGAACACTCCTAGTTTCTTCAGTGGGAACGCACCTCCTAAAGATCTGATCAGGACAGTATTTGAACATATATGGATCATCCCAGTAAAAGTATTTTACTTGGGAGAGAAAACAGGATCTATCCTGTTTAGACCAATGAGAAGGGATCTGTTTCATGACTATGTAATTCACAATGTCGGCAAACCATAGAACAGATTGGATTTGTAAGAGCTGTTAAAGAATAAGTGTGAGAGTTATGATGAGTGAGAGTGATTGTTTTGAATATATGCAAGTAACAATAAATTGAATTTGAGCGAAGAGAAGTAAGAATCAAAGAATAGAATAAAAAGCAAGAAAGAGAAAAATCAAGAAAATAAAAGGTGGAGGGTTCAATTAAAGATATGAGAAATCTAGAATTGAATCCACTAGCTAATCTCAATTATTAAATACAAACTATTCTCTTTTTATCATATTTTAATTTAGATTTATTAAGTATAGACTATCAAACCATTTAAGGAAAGCATAACCTATCAAATTATCATCTAAGTCAAAATAAAAATCATGATAAGAACAACAACAACATAGTAATCCTAGAATTCATAAGTATAACCTATCAAACCATCTAAGATAAGCATATATTATCAAATTCTTCTTCTATCAATTAGTTCTCTAGTTGATTATCCTAAACATGATCATTTTAAGTGTAAGAGAACAATTCATACAATATAAAGGAAATTAGACTAGTTTCATACAATTCTAAGATTACTACAAAAATTAATTTTATATCTTAAGAAATAAAAGCAAGAAGAAAAAGAACTAATTACAAAAAGAAAAAGAAAAGAAAAATCTAAACTATGAACAAGAAATAAATCTAACTACAAAGAATTAAAATCTAAACTACAAAATAAATTACAAAAATTAAATGCAAGAAAATAAATCTACTCTACAAATTAACGTGCAAAAAGAAATAAAAAAAGACAAGAAAATAAATCTACACTACAAACATGAATGTAAATCTAACTAATAAGCAATAATAAAAAATTACTAAAAAGAAATAAAAGAAAAAAATAAAAGAAAAGCAAACCTTTAAACTTTTCTTCATCTCCATCATCATCATCCAACAAAGAGAAGAAGATTTGAAGTGGAGATTTTTTTTTTATTAATTGTAACAAAAGTTACAAATTTAGAAGGTCTTCTCAATTAAGAGTAACCCTTCTCTCCAAATGGAGTTACAAAATTTTTCACACCTCTAACCCCTCACTCTCTACCCCTATTTATAGTAAACATCAGTGAATGAGAGCCCTTGGATTGAAATCTTATTCAAAAACAATAAATTTCAGCCTTTGGATTGTAACTGCCTGGCCGATGGTATCGATGCCAGCATCGATAGGCGTATCGATGCTGGCATCGATACGGGCATTGATGCCCCCATCGATGCTTGCATCGATGTGAGGTCCTCTCCAATATGATGTTTGCAGCTCCTCTTGTATTTGGGCTTGAGCTTTTGGACTTTGGCATTTTTTTTCTTCTTGGCTTTGGCTTTGGCATTTTTTTCTTCTTTTTAGCTTTGGGCTTTTGGACAATTTGGCATTTCTTCTTTTTTTGCTTTGGCATTTCTTCATTAAATCAAGGGGTCTTTGTTGAGAGATGAGATTTTTGAGATTTATTCTTCATTAACATGCATTTAAAGATAAAAACAATTATTAGTGGCATATTTATTCATATAAAATAGATAATGAGGGTATAAAATTATAAATAAAAATGATATATCAACAACCTTAAATAAACAAAGCAGAATAACTAGCAAGTTACGAAAAAAATTCTATGTTTGAACAACCTTTTGATTTAGGTGTGAAACAAATATCAGCAAATGAGAAACATCAATACAAAATACATACCACTGCAGAGTTGGCGAGTTGACAGCGACTCCTTGACGAGTACGAACGCGCTAGGCAGCCTTATCGTGCTGATAAACGGTGTGTAATCTTGTTGTTATATCTACATACATCACCATATCATAAGACAAATCGACATGAAATGTAAAGTAAATAAATAAGCAGAAGACCAAGAGATAGGGAGAAAGTGATCATCTCAGTTTTATTCATCTTCATTTTACCATACATTTTTGTCTCCCTATGACTTAACATTATATAATGTGGAATAGAATACTAAAGTCACAAGTAGTGAAGCAACTTCTTCTAGCAATACCACATTCATTTCATTATATATTACAACATGACTAATTTTGTTAATATTAAAAACTTTATTGCTTAAAAATTATTATAAATACTTATTGTATACGCCCTCCCCCCCCTCCCCCCCCCCCGCCCCCCTTCCTTTTTTTGTTGTTAATTCTTTTCTTGCTTTCGAGAATCGCCGTTCTCAACCTTTCACTTTTAAAGATCGAATTTGCGCGAAATTCAAATCCTGAGAAATTTAATATTGTTGAAGAAGGCTCTCCTCAGCCGCGCAAAGGCAAGGCCAGCGCGAATTAAATCTAGGTCTCGATTCGTAAGAAAGGAAAGTGGCGTTACCAATCATCCCCCAATTCCATCCGCCCACCGCCCACCTGCTTTTTGATTAGAACTGAACAAGATCCGATTCGATCGAATCGAATTTAGGATCGATGGGCTTGCTGTTTGTGATACGTCTTGAGGGGAGGATCTACAGCTGCAAGCACTGCCAGACCCATCTCGCTCTATCTCATGACATCCTCTCCAGGGTATATATTCCCCTTTCCTTTCATTAATCATATTATGATCAAACGATAATGATGAGGACAATGATCCGATATGAGTTAGATCAATGCCCTTTCACTCTCGTTTGAATATCTAACATGGTGTTGATTACATGTCGCCTACGCATTGCTACTGAGACCTAAATACAAGTAGCATGTCTACCTCTTTCATTGCTTATTCTTCATTTTACCCTCGGCGCATTTTCTTATTAATGTTTAGGATTTATAATCCTAACTGTAACAATTCAAAACAATTTCGTCCATCCTGTGTTAGAACATTAGATTACTTATCCTATATTTCCCTTATTCCAGACTTTTTACTAATCTAGGAAAATCTTGGACGGTGACTACTTACTCGCGACTGTTCTATTATCTGCTGAATTTATGCTTATATCTTGTGTTAAGCTGACAGTCGTCGTAAAAAAAATGTTGCCACATTTTCCATGTCTTTTGCACCATTGCCTACCCCATTGGAGAAGGACTTAAGAGATGATGATGAGGATGATGATGACAATGACAATGATGATGAATTACTAATAAGCAGTAGATTGTGTAGTTCATACATGGTCTTTAAGAAGTTTGTACGATTTAAAGGAGAAACAGTTTCACAATGTCAAAGTTGTGTACTCAGGATATTACCTTGCTTTGTGTTCTTTCATTATAGAACGACATAGTAAAGTTGAAATTTGTCTAATTACTTTGGTTCTAAAAGATAATTGATCCAAGCATCCCTAGTTAGATCGCCATGATAAATCTTTCTCAAAATTGCCCTTGAAAATTATAAGTTTTAAATGGAAATGGTATTAGTAATTCATGATGCTATTATTTGGCTTCAAAACTGCTTGGTTTGATTGGACCTTTGCAATCCCCTCAAACCACTAAATGCGTGAATACTATAACCATAGTTAGAAAAATTTGTGACGTAGATATTGTACAAAGCATTCAAGTTGTGAGTACTGACATTAGTCATAACCATGTATGAGTTATCTATAATGCATTGCTACTTTCTGTTTACCCTAGGAAAAAGAAATCTAACTTACGCAATGCATCCTTTCTTGCATGTGTTCAAAAGATCAGTTATGGTAGAAGCTAGAAAATGTTAACTTCGCTTTGGAAATTATGAGGTGCATGCCTTGGTTTTTGAAATTGTAACCATACTAGCTTATTTATCCTGTTTCTATTCTTTTTCCAGACTTTTCATTGCAGGCATGGGAAGGCTTATCTCTTCAATAAGGTGTAAGTTTCTTAGATTTCCCTTTGTACAGGTTTGGCTAACACATTTTCTCTTCTTTAGACAAAAGCAGAATGTCAGACATAAACATAAATTCATTGACGCCAATAAAACCAATTGTAAAGCTTCTATTTCTTTTGTTTTTTCTTAAAAAGATGTCGCCTGAACCTGAACTAGGGACTTCCCACAAACCACTCTCATCCGCTCTGCCACCTGAACTAAGCTTTGAGTGTGTTTCTGTCTATTTCATTGGTCATGGATCAAATGCTTAAGCTTATCTGAATGGAGGTACAAGTAATACGAATGTACTAGATTTTTGGCCATTCTCTGCATACAACAATAAAAAAGCATTTATCCCAAATTTTGAGATCGGCTACATGAATCATATTCTTCTATTTAGTTTTGTTGAGGGTTATCTCTTCTACTGAATTATGCTATCATATCCTTTTTAATTGCTTCCTTCCAAATTCTCTTAGGCTACGTTTGGGAACTAAGATTTGGATTTGAAATGTTGATTTAAAATCATGGGATTTCAAATCTAGAATTTGAAATCTATGATTTGATAAAATCTTTTGTTTGGATGTCATCACTAAATGCAACTATGCAAGTATTTGAAATCATAGATTTAAGATCTAATGTTTGGATGCACTTTATTATACATGAATTTGGATTTGAAATTGGTGTTCTAAAAAAATTATGCTTTCTCTTAACTCCTCAATATTTAAATCAAATGCGGACATTATGGTTTATGTTGAGGTAAAACCATAAAATTTAGGGTGAATTTCATGACACCCTCAGAAGTTTGATCTCTTCATTAGCAATTATAAATGCACATGCAAACATCTTGTCCTTCATGAACCGGTATGAGAGAATACAAAAAAGAATAATTATGTCCAAAATATTTATTATTACGACATTTTTTTTTCATGGTTTCATCCAATACTACATCAACCTTCGATCTCCAAAGAACAAGAGTACTACTCCAATAACTAGCCATGATAAAAGACTCGACGAGTCAAAAGAGTTTAGCAAACACTCATAAGAAGCTCTACGCTACACAATAATCCTTCATTTAAAACACAACATACTATAGGTAGTTGATAACCATGATTTGCTACAACAAGTAACCATGATTTGCTACAACAAGCCAAATTACCACAACATAAACTATTAAAAGAAGCAATATCTAGAATCCGCTATTTATCCTTCAAGTCTTCTCCTCTTTTCTCTCCAATGCACCCAACTTCATGTCTCGAAGAATTTGAGTCCTACATTACACAATTTAGCATCAATTAGTCCATGACACAAAAATCGAACTTCAAAGTTGAATCATGAAGACCATCAACCTTTAAAAAAAGAAAAAGAAAACAAGTACAGGATTGCGTACTTTCTGTATTCTGATGGAGGCACTAGTTTTCTCAACAAGGAGACCATGACTATTGTTGATGTTAGATTATCAAGGACAGAATTTAGGAAGAAGGTGACAAAGCCAACCTGAGAAAAGCACACAGTGCCACTTTTTACTGGAAGTACCCTATACCACCATTTATAAGTTATCATGTGATATAGGAGTGTGTATCTGCATATTCAATGTACCTTGGAAGTATTTGGAAGTATATACTAACTGATTATTTATGTTATATGGATGCACACATACATACATATAGATAGTTCACCTTCTAAAGCTGGAAGTCTCCCATCACACAATATCCAAACAAGAATACTAGTGTATTTACCACAAAACATTACAGTCAATCCAGCATCTGTGCACGCATAGTCTCAGTTTACTTTGAAATTCAGGCATTACCGAAGTAAAGTATTCAAGGTCCTTGCACCATGTTCAGGTTCTTATCAGAGGACAAACTGCTACTTAAAAGCAAGCTCAAACTCATTCTTTTTGCTGTAAATTAAAGCGCTAATCTTTGTAGCATAATTCATGACTTCAAAAAACATGATTTTGAGGGAACAAATGGAACTCCAAGAATGAAAAATATGAGACTAGCTACAAACAATTAACACCGTGTTAAAAAAAATCCATGGTCGAAAATAGACCGACTAAGTCAATATTTCTAAAGACCAAATCGACTCAAAAGAACAAATCTTATTTGAGTTCTGAGTGCAAACATGTTTAAACATTTATACACCAATTGACAATTCAGACACCAAGACAAATACTTCTGTAAATCTAAACCTTCATATATATCCAAAAAAATAGCTTTGTTCACTTCAGAAATTGATCAATACTAATCAATTAGCAATTCATACCGATTAATAGTTTAAGGATTTAAATACATTAACTGCATAGTTTTCCTGTTATGTAGGGGTCATACTATAAAGTAATATATACATCAGAAGTGCGCACCTAAGGTTCTTCAGATATAAACTATGACACTAGCATGCAATTTGTTTTAGTGTTGCATTTTCGTTTCAGAAAGTAGATACGCATGAAATATATGGGTTGAACATCTGTAAAGACCACTAAAGACAGTAGGCTCAAATAGTTCAGAAAATGGAAATCAAGGAAATTTCATGCACATATTAAAGATCAATCCATGTTCACCAAAAATAAATTGTCAAAAGTGTCATAAATGACACAGATAAACCTCCAGTTAAGGGACAGGGATAGATATTATATAATGTCAAGAGTCAGTTATACTATGATATGAAATTTCTAATGAGTTCAATCTTAGCCATGATACAAAATTGTAAATGACATAAAATGTCAGCTACGACAATTATGGAAAACCAGAATACAGGCATTAAATCTAACATATAACTAAATCCAGTAATGCACTGAAAAAATAATCACAGATAGATGCAAATGGTCTAAACAGTAATATTCACAACATTACTCTAGCTTTATTAGCAGCAGAGGGAAATGGAGATGCAATGAATGCCAAGTAGTTGTCTGTCGAAATTAATTAGCAGTATATTAATAAGTATATGTGCAGTTATGTTGAAAAGACTAAGAACAGTGTTACAGTGGGTCAATCTGGCTGATCAACCTGCATATATATAAACGTGCTAGACCAAAACCTTGGCTATCTTGACCAATTTATAGATCAACGCTATAAACTTCTAACTGATATCTTCCACATAAATTTTCTCTGTCCACGAACAAAGTCATAGAAACTTTTTGAAGGAAAAATCATTAACAAAATTAACAAGTCCAAATACTGATTAATTGGCTCATGACTGACCGATAGCCTGTATTTGTGGCTCAACATATTGTTATGCTTGCTTGAGTTCATCTATCAGAAACCTAAAATATTTACATCGTCATAATGTGAGATCATTGATAATACATATTGGTGTAACCGAAGCATACGAGATAAGTATTTAACATATATAAATTGCTATGATAATGTCAGACTCATGTGATAACTATCGAAGCATACGAGATAAGTATTTAACATATATAAATTGCTATGATAATGTCAGACTCATGTGATAACTATTACTACCCAATGCTTTTAGCATTCACATATATAAATTGCTATGATAATGTCAGACTCATGTGATAACTATTACTACCCAATGCTTTTAGCATTCTAGGTGAGTGATATTTAGAAACTTCGAAGAAATCATTTGGAGATGATTGTAAGCATGTCAAACATTCAACAACTTCACCCCAACAACTGAACTAATTAGGAGGAAAGGATACATGATACCTAGACCAACAACCCAAATTCCTAACAAACACCAAGTAATTTCCTCAAGAAACCACAACCAAAAAACCAAGAACGAGATCCAACCAAAGTTGAGACTTTGTGCCAAATCCATTACCAAATGTTGTTGATAATAACTCGTAGTACAATCATCTGCAAGTGGCATGTAAAACAAAGGATACAAATCTTATCCATTGCACCAAAGGTTATCGATAGTGGATAGCGTCGCGTAGCGGTGAGACATCGCTAAGGCTATTTTGGGCTATTGCGGCAAAATAGCGATAAAAAGCGTAAAGTCAAATAGCGGTCTAATTTAGATATGTATAAATACGAAAAAAAAAAATTAAAGAAAAATCTAAGAAATCTAAAAGTACATATTAGATGATTTAAAAAAATCCTAAACATGAAATAGACATGTAACTATCACGTAATACCGAAGATGACTGGAAGAGTCAAAAAGTCGTCGTCTTCGAGAAGAAGAGCTTAGTGGTGACAAGACTGCCCTAAGAGGAGCTCACGGTGAAGGAGGTGAGAGGAAGTATCAAGGTAGGTGTCAGAGGCTATGAGAGGTGACGGGAGTATGTTGAAAATCACAGGAGACGGTGGAATGCAATGGTCAAGAGTTGAGTTTAATTTTTTTAAAAATAAGCCTCAAAACGCTTTTAAATAGCAGTCAAAAAGTAAATTTCGAATACAATCGCTTACTATTTACCGTTATGATACACTATTGACCGCTTTTGCGAACAGACATATTCCGTAATATGTTATCGCTATTGTGCGATAGCGTAGCGTCACGGGAAGGGACCGCTAACATTATTAGCGCTGCTATTACGAGGCTATTTACCGCTATTTATAACAGTGATTGCACCTAAACATTTATCAATTCAATCAACACTAAACTCATGAACCCATCATTGTAATTCATTTTGAATAAAAGATGAGTATGAATACAATTTCACGACATTATTATGTTAGGCCTTAGTTGTATCAGAGCAAATTGCATTAATCATCCATATATTATTTGATGGTGATGAGATTACGCAAATTCAAAAAAGAAAAATTTTCTAACTGATTAGATTTAAATTGCCTTCCTCCCAAATATGAAATTCTAATATTTGAAGAATAAAAGGCACATAAATTGAAACACATAACACAATGCAAGGATCTATGTCACTGAAGCAACATAATTATACTACTATCTTAATGCATACCTATGCGTGTATAAATAAAATACAACATAACCCTAGATCATGATCTAAACCCTAGATCAGATCCAGAGTTTCGACAGAAAAGGGTGAGAGAAGAAAGGGGGAGACCTAAACCCTAGATCCGATCTAGGGTTTAAACGATAGGAGAGGAGAGGGGGAGAGGGGGGGGGGGGGGGGAGGGGGGGGGGGGGGGGGGGGAGGAGAGAGAGGGAGAGAGAGAAAGTTACCTGTGTCGAGAAGAGAAGAGGTCGAGACTTGGAAACGAGAGAAAGAAGGAGGTTGGGCCAGTTGGGATTTGGTTAATACAAGGGGCAGGGCCGCAGGGGCAGGATGAGATTTGAAATATGTGTATTTCGTTTTTCAAATTCTCCTCTCTAAAATAATTTGATTTAAAATCTCAGTGCAACTTAAAATCCAAACTAGAGATTTGTATTCAAAATACCGTGGATTTTAAATCCTGGGTCCAAATCCAAGTTCCCAAACGCAGCCTTAGGTCTATCTTTAGTCATTCTTTCTCCATTAACTATAATCTTAATAGTTTTGCTAATTGATGCATGACCTACGTTCCACAAATGCGCTCATTTCTATCCTGCATGGATGAAATAATTATTTATATTGCAAGCGTATACAACCTCTGATACTGAAAGTAGTCCAAATGCAACTTTTTTCTTGAGAAATTCAAATGCACTTTTTTTGTGAAGTGTATTTGCAAAAAGTCATGAGTAGGTAGGTTTCTAGGGGGAAAAAGCACCAGATTTCTTACACATTCCACAAGTGTTATTTGGCCCGTTGTTAATAACATGAGAAAGTCCTAGTCCACTGTAGTTGATGTGCTGAGGGTTCCATGCTTGGAAAACCGAAGCAAGGATTAGTGTACTTGTCTCAGGATTATTTTCCCCCTGATGCACCAACTATCCCCGGTTGGAAGGGATCACTAGATAGTTTTCCCAAAAACATTCATGTTTTTCATTCTCTATGTT